ACCTTTCACCAGACACAAAAATCAACTCTAAATATATCAAAGACCCAAATGTAAAACCTCAAACTATAAGAACCTTAGAAAACGCAGGAGACACCCTTATGGAAATTGGAACTGGCAACCAGTTCCTGATAGAAACCCTAAGTGCCTATGCCATAAGAGATAAGATAGACAAGTGGGACCTCACCAAACTGACAAGCATCTGCAAAGCCAAAGAAACCATTAAGAGAGTGGGGAAACAGCCCACAGCCTGGGAAAAAATATTTGCCAACTGTATATCTGACAAAGGTCTAACATCTAGGATCTACAAGGAACTCAAATGTGCCAAGAAGAAAAAAACAAACAGCCCCATTACAAAATGGGTAAAATATATGAATAGACACTTCTCAATAGAAGACATACAAGCAGCCAACTGATACATGAAAAAATGCTCAGCCTCACTAGTCATCAAATAAATGCAAATTAAAACCACACCGAGATACCACCTAACTCCAGTCAGGATGGCCATCATCAATAAACTCAAAAAAGAACAGATGCTGGAGAGGTGCTTCTACATTGTTGGTGGGAGTGTAAACTAGTACATCCTCTGTGGAAAACAGTGTGGTGATTCCTAAAAGATCTAAAAATCAACCTCCCATACGACCCCACAATCCCCCACTGGGAATATACCTGGAGGAACTCAGATCACTCTATGAAAAAGATACCTGCACATACATGTTTATTGCAGCATTATTTACAATAGCAAAAACTATGGAGCCAATGGTGCTGCCCATCGAAAGAGGACTGGATAAAAAAAATGTGGCACATATACATGATGGAATATTACACAGCCATAAAGAAGGACAAAATTATGAACTTTGCAGCAACTTGGATGGACTTAGAGGCTATAATACTGAGCGATCTATCACAGAAACAAAGAACCGAGTATCCCATGTTCTCACTCATAAGCAGACTGTGAACAACTATCATAATACCATAAGAAAGGGATTGGCAGTAGTGGGAAACTACCAGGGGAGGGGCGGGCACAACTCATCAACAAGGGTACTTGCATAATGAGCATTTGTATACCTAACCCTGAATTGTACCCATATATATTTTAAAAACAACAAAACAAAACAAAAACCCTTGTCTTCCTTTACCTCCCTGAACACGCACGTAGTTTACTATGGCATGCATATTCCCTTGCAGTGCCCTACTTTCCAATAAGTATTTTCTCCTAGAGTGCTTCTCTCTGTTATTTAGATTGTCAGGAACATTCAAAATACTCTCTTCTAGCTATTTGAAAATACACAATAAATTCTTGTTAACTATAGTCACCCTGTGGTGCTATAGAACACTAGAACTTATTCCTCCTATCTGTAATTCTGTATCCATCAATCAACTCCTCCCTAACCACCATGCATCCTTTTCATAATGATGCAAACGTATTAAATACTTTCATTTCTTTCACCAGAATGGGTCCTGAGGCAGCCCATTGGAGGTCAGAGTCCCCTCCAGAAATTGGCCAACCCCGAAGGCCAGCTTGGCTCCAGCTGAGTCTTGTCCAGAAACAGGAGTCGGAGGCATGTCCTGAGGAGTGACCCGATTCTGTCGTCATGGATAAGAGGGCGAGTGGTTTAGCATCACATCCTCACAAAGCATCCACAGAGACGAGAAGATTCACTCAGGGGGTTTCCCAAAGTGCCTCATCAGAATGCCTGGCCCACTGCAGGCCTACCCAGTCCAGATCTCCAGTGCAGGGGCCTGAAGGGGTCATGCTTTAACCTGCTGTTGACAGGATGAGTTTTCTCAGGAAGCAGGTTTGGGAAAGGAAGATCTGCAAATTTCTACTCAGTCAGCTCTCCCAGGCTTGGGCAAGCAATGTGGTACCAGCCTTGGCCCATTAATCTAACCTACCAGGCATCCTTCTTTGAAGAGTTTCAGCAGTTTACAGGCCCCAGTTGGTCTCTACCCTTCCCATCGCCTCTGTGCCCCTCTGTGGCCTCCTCTGAGGGCCTCCCTCTCACTTCCTTCTTTTCCAATCTCCTCCAAGGGCCTTGCTGGCCTCAGGGAGGTCTCACACAGAAGGGCTTGAAAAGGGACTAGTTTCACCAGGCTCAGTGGCTCAGCCTGTAATCCCAGCATTTTGGAAGGCCGAGGCGAGTGGATTGGCCTGAGCCTGTGGGTTTCAGACCAGCCTGGGCAACTTGGCGAGACCTCGTCTCTACAATAAATAAAAAGTTAGCCGGGCGTGGTAGCACACGCCTGTAGTTCCAGCTACTTGGAAGGCTGAGGTGGAAGGATCGCTGGAGCCCAGCAGATTGATACTGGAGTGGCCGTGAGTGTGCCATGGCACTCCAGCCTGGGCAACAGAGTGAGACTCCAACTCAAAAAAAAAAGAAAAAAGAAAAAAGAAAAGGGGGCCGGGTGCAGTGGCTCATGCCTATAATCCCAGCACCTTGGGAGGTCAAGGTGAGACAACTGCCTGAGCCCATGGGTTCAAGACCAGCCTGGGCAACTTGGTAAGACCTCATCTCTACAATAAATAAAAAAAAATTAGCTGGACATGGTGGCGTATGCCTGTAGTTCCAGCTACTTGGAATGCTGAGGCAGAAGGATCGCCTGAGCCCAGTAGGTCGAGGCTGCAGTGGCCATCAGTGTGCCACTGCACTCCAGAGACTCCAACTCAAAAAAAGAAAGAAAGAAAAGGAACTAGTTTTATAATTCTGACCTTTTTGGGGATATGTTTGGAGTGTGTATTTGACTCTCCCTCAGGAGCTTTCCAGAGACTACTAATAATGTGGTGAAAGTATCACAGATACAAAAGTTATTTGAGGTCCTCAATAATTTTTTTTTTTGAGTTGGAGTCTCAGTCTGTCGGCCAGGCTGGAGTGCAGTGGCATGCAGCTGCCCAAGGCTATGCCCCCCTGGGGACACATCCTTTTGGCCCCTTCACTACAATAGGCTTGGTGGGTTTACCCTGAGTACTCCGTGGGGGAGTGGAAACCAAACAAATGAAAAACTGATTATAAAACTAACTACACTCAGCATTATTTTTAATCTGGCAAATACAACATATTACCTGGAGTTTACCCTTGAGAGTCTCCCCATGGTGTAGTCTATTCCAAGTCAGATATCTCATCAGTAAATACTAACACCCACTGTGAGAGCACATGCATCTAGGGGAAGGAGCTCACTGCTCCCAGGGTGAGTGTCCTATGGAGTACTTTCATGGGCCCTTAAAGTCTCTATTTTTATTGAAAATTCATGGGCTGTTTTGCACACATCCTGGAGATGCTTTCTACCCCTCCAAACACAGAACCTTGAATTTGCTTCCCCTGAGTCTGGGTGATCTTTCCTTTGCCTGATCTGCTTTCACTTCTGGGAGCCAGAAGGCCCAGGTCAGAGTGCAAAGACAAAACAGGGTCTGTGGGAGAGAGAGCTGGGGATCCTGCCACAAGGAGGTCAAGGAATGCTCTGGAACATTCTGGAGCAGAGCTTGGGAATCCCATGGGACACATTCTGGAACCTGACCCCTTCAGCAGCTGGCAGGAGCTGGGAAGACACCGTGTCCATCCCGAGTCCCTGATCAATCTGGGTCATGTTTCCTCTCTAACTCTGGGCTCGTTGGAGGCAGGCAGATGTCTTTTATCTTTCTCTCTTTATCCCAGATCCTGATGCGTAGTGAAACCCTCAGTAACTGTTTGCTCTGCAAATGACTGAATATAAATATTATGTTTATTTAGTATCAGTTGACAGAAGCCAGGCATGGTGCACACTTGTAATCTCAGCTACTCAGGAGGCTGAGGTGGGAGGATTGCTTGAGCCCAAGAATTCAAGTCCAGCCTGCACAACATAAGACCCCATCTCAATTTTTAAAAAAGTAAATAAAATAAAATGAGTTAATGGAAAAGCTGGCCTGGTGGATTTCTGACCAACCAGCCCACCATAATACCTGAACAAGTAGTTTTGAGGGTGCCTGGCACATCCCCTGATGTTTACAGGAGTACCAGATCTATGGCTATGCCCAACTCTGGCAGGCTTCTCTGGGGAGCAGGGCTTGGGGCTGGGCTTGCACAGACAGAACTTCCAGCAGGAGAAGGTCTGAACTAGAGCAGGACCAAGAAAGGAGACCAGACGGTCCAGGACACATGGCTCTCAGACACAGCAAAGACCTGGTTATCAGCAGACCCCAGACCACCCACAGGGCAAGCCTCACCCAGGATTGATGTCTGGTGTCTGAAGTGACCTTCTAGTCCCTTCAATAATGCATGACATCTTTTTAAATGAGTTTTCTAAAACAAAGAATAAGCCACTACATCCTAAAGGAAAAAAAAAAAAAAAAGAAGGGATCCTGTAACAAAAAGCACTTGGCATCTTCCAGAAGGAACTGCTGAATAAAGACAAGATTTTTTTTTTTTTTGAGTTGGAGTCTCACTCTGTCGCCCAGTCTGGAGTGCAGTGACCACTCCTGGCCACCGCAGCCTCGACCTGCTGGGCTCTGGCGATCCTTCCACCTCAGCCTTCCATGTAGCCGGAATAACAGGCATGCGCTACCATGCCCGGCTGATTTTTTGATTTATTGTAGAGATGAGGTCCCACTAAGTTGCCCAGGCGGGTCTTGAACCCGTGGGCTCAGGCAGTCCACTCACCTCAGCCTCCCAAAGCACGGGATTACAGGCTGAGCCACCGAGACCGGCAAGATTTTTTTAAATATTATTTTTCTTTCAATATAAGAGGAACAAAGACATTATTATCCAAGACCTATCAATCTGCATATGTAATTACAATTACAATGCAATACATATGAATATAATTTATAGGAGCAAAATCCACTTTAGCCTAAATTCTTCCATTAATGCTATTAATAGGTTTTTAAGTACGCTTACCATCTTGTGTTCCCACACAGAAGTTTTCCCTACTCTCAGAAGTATTTTGTTACAAACAGCATTCAGCTTTTCACTTTTCCCTCAATTCAGAGAAAATGCCCTGTCCATGTGACACAGTGATACACCATCACATAATTCATGAATCAAACATCCTGTCCATTTTATGCACATCTCTCTTCATTTACAGCAGTTCACACAGACAAAATTGTTTTATCTCAAAAAAGACAACAGGACAAGAGGCTGAAAAAGATACTTTTACAATAAAAACACATTCTAAAAAAAGTGATTTTATCTAATTACATTTGGAATTGAAATTTTCTTCTATCCCAGACCAATTAGCAGTGGTCAGACAGTCCATAAAACCAGCACTTCCAGAGGAAGGTTCCAGACATCACAATGCACACCAAGAAAAATCAGACTTTAAAGTGCTCTAAAAAACAAATTGGTTCAAAGAAATAATATGGAATATATTAAATGCTGAAGCCTACTGGTAACAACAGAATGAGTTTAGGCTGGTATAACTTAGAACAACCTTAAAAACAGATACATTTTAAAAAGTGTCACAAATGAAAAATACTGTATTTGAAGGTATTCTTGTAGTGCTGAAGGCTCACACTAGGATATTTCCAGGGTGGCAGTTGTAAGAGTAATATTGGAGATGCTTAGTGAACTTTGAGCCATGGGGTTGCTCCCTAAGCTAAACTGCAATAAACCCTAAGCGCCTCTAGAAGAACTAGCTAGTTATATGTGAAGACTTCAAATCCTTAGGTATACATGTGTGCACTGTGGGAAGACGATTAAGCCCAGACCTGTGAAGACACAAATGGATAATTTTTAGTCCCTAGTAGTTAAAAACGTGCAAACCTTGGGTTTAAAGAGATAAAATCAGTCTAACCACACATGTGCACAGGCACACACATACTCCATCCAAAATAGGGTGCTCACATGCCTTTAAAGGCTAACACTTTACTCCTAGCAACTCGAAGGTGCTTCTTTGGGCCTGACTCCTCCCCTCTCTGAATTAATCATCTATAGGGCATGTGCAGCCTCCTTTCCAGGGACTAACGCTTTTCAATTGAGAACCAAAAACACCCATACCCACTGTGCACATAATTTTTTTCCAGCATAATTTCAATTTTTGTCGAATTTTTATTTTATTTTAGAGTTGTTAGGATCAAGTGGGGATTTACCATATAGGTAGACTGCATGCAGGTGAAGTTTGGGCTTCTAGCTGGCCCTCTTTCTCCCTGAGAGTGGACCAGGTATATTAACATGACTTTACTAATTTAGGACATTCTTGCCCAGGAAGAGAAACTCACAAATGACTTTTTTATTTGTTTCAGGATCTTTGCAAAACATTCTTTTATCTATTCATCCTAAAACTAGACTACTTAACTTACCCTCTTTAGAAAAGACACCCACATCTTGGGACAATATAAAGTCTCAAATGACAGTTTACTTTTCAAGACTTTCTTTAAAATCCTTCCCCTCCCTCACTCTGTATTCAGTGATCTTAAAACTATTATACCACAAATTTGTCCAACTTTATTTTTATTTTTTTATTTTTATTTTTAGTTAGAGTCTCACTCTGTCCCCCAGGCTGGAGTGCAGTGGCATGCTCATGGCCACTGCAGCCTCGACCTGCTGGACTCGGGTGAGCCTTCCACCTCAGGCTTCCAAGTAGCTGGAACTATAGGCATGCGCCACCACACCCAGCTAATTTTTTGATTTACTGTAGAGATGGGGTCTCACCAAATTGCCCAGGCTGGTTTCGAGCTCAGGCAATACTCTTGCCTCCGCCTCCCAAAGTGCTGTCATGGACAAGGTCAATAATAATAATAAGAGCCCCACTACAGGGAGGAGAGACTGGTTATCTGTGGTTTGCCAAAGTCAAGAATTGCAGGAATCAGACTTATTTTTTTTTTGAATTGGAGTCTCACTCCGTCACCCAGACTGGCGTACAGCGGCACGACTCACAGCCACTGCAGCCTCGACCTGCTGGGCTCAGGCGATCCTTCTGCCTCAGCCTTCCAAGTAGCTGGAAATACAGGTGTGCACTATCATGCCCAGATAATATTTTGATTTATTGTAAAGATGAGATCTCGCCAAGTTGCCCAGGCTGCTCTCGAACCTGTGGGCTCAAGCAATCCTCTCACTTTGGCCTCCCAAAGTGTTGGGATTATAGACATGAGCCACTACACCTGGCCAGGAATCAGACTTACAGGGCCAAAAGGAATCTGCTGGACCATCAAGCCCAACTGTTCCCTCAATTACACGTTAATACATAGTTGTCTAATCTTGAATATCTGCATTGATAGGGCATTTACTACCTTCCCGGCAACTCATTCTTTCTGTGGCTGTGAGCACATCTTAGCTTACTCTGACCCCTCTGTTTTAGAAGGCCTATCACCCCTCCTCTCTCCTCTCACACACAGGAACATTGAAAAACATCTCTTACTCTGAGGGTATGATCCCATGATCCTGAGCAGAAAGCAGTCCCATCAGGGGAAACTCTTAGAGTGCTAACACGGTTTTCATGTCCAAATAGGATGGAGACTCGGGACCCCTTGAGAACATCCCAGACGTTGATAGTATAATCATTGTATCCAGCAAACAGCAGGCGACCTTGAAGCAGGATGATATGGTTATTAAATCACTTCTTTCCTTCCTATTTCTCATTTCATGACTGTCACTCATTCATTCGTTCAATAAGCAGTGATTTAGGCCCACTATATGCCCTGAGGATTCAAAGAAGAGAAAGCACAGATGCTGCCCTCTGTGGAAAGTGTGGGGTGAGAGGACTAAATCACTGTAGCATCACATGATAAGACGTGATGTAAGTGCCTATGTGTGTAAAGTGCTGTGGAATCAGAGGGAAGGGAGGACCAAGGAGGGCATTGCAGACACAAGTCATGTTAAGATCTCAGTAGTTAAGAACTTGTAAAACTTGAGTTTAAAGAGATAAAATCTTTTAGGAATTGCTACACTGCTTTCCACAGAGGTTGTTTACACTCCCACCGACAGTGTATAAGTGTTCCCTTATCACCACATCCTCTCCAGCATCTGTTATTTTTTGAGTTACTGATAATGGCCATTCTGACTGGAGTTAGGTGGTATCTCAGTGTAATTTTAATTTGCATCTCCTTGATGATCAGTGAGGTTGAACATTTCTTCATGTGTCTGCTGGCTGCTCGTATGTCTTCTTTTGTGAAGTGTCTGTTCATATCTTTTGCCCACTTTGTAATGGGGTTGTTTGTTTTTTTTCTTTTCAGCACGTTTGAGTTCCTTGTAGATCCAAGATGTTAGGCCTTTGTCAGACATGGAGTTGGCAAATAGTTTTTCCCAGTCTGTGGGCTGTCTCCCTGCTCTCTTGATGGTTTCTTTGGCTTTGCAGAAGTTTGTCAGTTTAATGAGGTCCCACTTGTCGA